ATAAATGTCTTCATATTAAGTATCCTACTAGCTCTGTTTCTCTGGTAGAACTCTGACTGATACAGTCAGCTGCATAGAGAAAATAACATTTGGGCAAAGACTTGCAGTTAAGCATGGTGTGTACAAGGAACAGCAAAAAGGCCAGTGTGGCTGAATAAGAGTGAGCAAGGGGAGAGACGTAGGAGAGGAGGTTATTCTATTAACCATAAGAAGCAGCAGAGAAAGTACAGGCTGTGAGTTGAAAGGTCTCCTTTAGCATCCTTTCTATCATAAGCCAAGCCCACATCATGACAAAAAATGATGCTACCATCATCCAAATATCTCTCCTTGTCTAAAATGGTACAAATGAATGTTCCCCATCTCCACTGTTGACAAAAGCTTCTGGTTACTACAAGGAGATCTTTTGTACCTAACTCATTGTACATTACTGCATATATTCAGAACATTATTTGTGAGCTGAATCATGTTGGTAGTGTCTCCACTAGGAGGTATGGAACTCTGGAGCCAGGCTAGAACATAGATCCAAAATCATCCAAACGTGGATCAAGGACTGACGAGCCATCTACAGTCAATGGGACAGTTTACCTGTTTTCCTTGGGTAAGACGGTGGTTTGGAGTCAAGAAGATTTAATGCTTCTAACTGGTCCCGCCCAGATGTAGTTGAAAAAATAAAGACCAGGATTCCAGATCCAAGATGGCCGAATAGGAACAGCTCCGGTCTGCAGTTCCCAGCGTGATCAACACAGAAGACGGGTGTTTTCTGCATTTCCAACTGAGGTACCTGGTTCATCTCATTGGGACTCGTTGGACAGTGGGTGCAGCCCACAGAGGGCGAGCCAAAGCAGGGAGGGGCATCGCCTCACCCATAAAGCACAAGGGGTCAGGGGAGTTCCCTTTCCTAGCCAAGGGAAGCCACGACAGAGGGCACCTAGAAAAACGGGGCACTCCCAGACAAATACAGTGCTTTTCCAATGGTCTTAGAAAATGGCACACCAGGAGATTATATCCCATGCCTGGCTCCACCGACCCCAAGCCCACGGAGCCTTGCTTACTGCTAGCACAGCAGTCTGAGCTCCACCTGTGAGACAGCAGCCTGGCAGGGGGAGGGGCGTCTGCCATTACTGAGGCTTGAGTAGGTAAACAAAGCAGCCAGGGAAGCTCGAACTGAAGGAGATAGAGATACGAAAAACCCTTCAAAAAATCAGTGAATCCAGGAGCTGATTTTTTGAAAAGGTCAACAAAATCGATAGACTGCTAGCGAGACTAATAAAGAAGAAAAAAGAGAAGAAGTAAACAGACACAATAAAAAAATGGTAAAGGGATATCACCACTGATCCCACAGAAATACAAACTACCATCCAGCAGAATACTATAAACACCTCTATGCAATAAAACAAGAAAATCTAGAAGAAATGGATAAATTCCTGGACACATACACCCTCCAAGACTAAACCAGGAGAAAGTGGAATCTCTGAATACACCAATAACAGGCTCGAAATTGAGGCAATAATTAATAGCCTCCCAACCACCAAAAAAAGTCCAGGACCAGAGGGATTCACAGCCAAATCCTACCCAGAGTACAAGGAGGAGCTGGTACCATTCCTTCTGGAACTATTCCAATCAATAGAAAAAGAGGAATCCTCCCTAACCTTCATTTCACGAGGCCAGCATCATCCTGAACCAAAGCCTGGCAGAGACACACAACAAAAAAGAGAATTTTAGACCAACAATCCCTGATGAACATCGATGCAAAAATCCTCAATAAAATACTGGCAAACGCGACCCAGCAGCATCAAAAAGTTTATCCAGCACAATCAAGTGGCTTCATCCCTGGGATGCAAGCCTGGTTCAACATATGCAAATCAATAAACATAGTCCACCATAAAACCAGAACCAACGACAAAAACCACATGATTATCCAATAGATGCAGAAAAGCCTTCAACGAATTCAACCAGCCCTCTCCATGCTAAAAATCTCAATAAACTAAGTAATGATGGCAATGTATCTCAAAATAAGAGCTATTTATGACAAACCCACAGCCAAATATCATACTGAATGCCAAAAACTGGAAGCATTCCCTTGAAAACTGCATAAGAACAGAATGCCCGTCTCACCCACTCCTATTCAACATAGTGTTGGAAGTTCGGCCAGGGCAATCAGGCAAGAGAAACAAAACAGGTATTTAATTAGGAAAAAGGAAATCAAATTGTCCCTTTGCAGATGACAGATTGTATATTTAGAAACCCCCATTGTCCAGCCCAAAACCCTCTAGCTGATAAGCAACTTTCAGAAAGTCCATGTACAAAATACAATGTGCAAAAATCACACAAGCCTATCCTAACACCAATAACAGACCAATCAGAGAACCCAAATCAAGAGTGGAACTCGCCCATCTACGATTGCTACACAAAAGAAAAATACCAGCAATACAATTACAAGGTATGTATAGAAACCCCTTCAAGAAACTACAAACCACCTGCTGCAACAAAATAAAAGGACAGAAAACCAATGGAAGACATTCCATCCTCCATGATAGGAAGAATCATATGTGAAAATTGCCCATAAGTGCCCAAATAAATTTAAGATTCAATGTCTCACCATCAAGCACCAAAGGGACGTTTTTCCACAAAACTGGAAAAAACAAGCAAAGTCAATAGGAATACCCAAAAAGAGCCCTATCGCCAAACCAATCCAAGCCAAAAAGAACAACGCCTGGAGGCATCACCCTACCCCTGACCTTCAAACCTAAATACTACAAGGCTACAGTAACCAAAACAGCATGGTACTGGTACCAAAACAGATATATAGACCAATGGAACAGAACAGAGTCCTTAGAAATAACACCACACATCTACAACCATCTGATCTTTGACAAACCTGACAAAAAGAAGAAATGGGGAAAGGATTCCCTGTTTAATAAATGGTGCTGGGAAAACTGGCTAGCTGTATGTAGAAAGCTGAAACTGAACCCCTTCCTTACACCTTATATAAAAATTCATTCAAGATGAATTAAGGACTTAAATGTGAGACCTAAAACCATAAAAACCCTAGAAAAAAACCTAGGCAATCCCATTCAGGACATAGGCATGGGCAAGGACTTCATGACTAAAACACCACAAATAATGGCAACAAAATAGACAAATGGGATCTAATTAAACTAAAGAGCTTCTGCACAGCAAAAGAAACTACCATCAGAGTGAACAGGTAACCTACAGAATGGGAGAAAATTTTTGCAATCTACCCATCTGACAAAGGACTAATATCCAGAATCTACAAAGAACTTAAACAAATTTACAAGAAAAAAACAAAAACCCCATCAAAAAGCGGGTGAATGATATGAACAGACACTTCTCAAATGAAGATATTTATGCAGCCAACATATACATGAAAAAATGCTCATCATCACTGGTCATGAGAGAAATGCAAATCCAAACCACAATGAGATACCATCTCACACCAGTTAGAATGGCAATCATTAAAAAGTCAGGAAACAACAGATGCTGGAGAGGATGTGGAGAAATAGGAAAGCTTCTACACTGTTGGTGTGAGTGTAAACTAGTTCAACCATTGTGGAAGACAGTGTGGCAATTCCTCAAGGATCTAGAACTAGAAATACCATTTGACCCAGCAATCCCATTACTGGGTATATACCCAAAGGATTATAAATCATTCTACTATAAAGACATATGCACACATATGTTTATTACAGCACTATTCACAATAGCAGAGACTAAGAACCAACCGAAATGTCCATCAATGATAGACTGGATTAAGAAAGTGTGGCACATGTACACCATGGAATACTATGCAACCATAAAAAGGATGAGTTCATGTCCTTTGCATGGACATGGATGCAGCTGGAAACCATCATTCTGAGCAAACTATCACAATGTCTGCTTTAGGATGGGAGGAAGATGGTTGGTGACAGGTCTTTACTGAGAAAACCAAACACCACATGTTCTCACTCATAGGTGGGAACTGAACAATGAGAACACTTGGACACAGGGCAGGGAACATCACACCCCAGGGCCTGTAGTGGGATGGGGGACAGGGGGAGAGATAGCATTAGGAGAAATACCTAATGTAAATGATGAGTTAATGGGTGCAGCAAACCAACATGGCACATGTATACCTATGTAATATACCTGCACGTTGTGCGCATGTACCCTAGAACTTAAAAGTATAATAAAAAGAAGTTAAAAAATTTTTTTAAATGAAATAAAATAAAAATAAAGACCAGGCACCATCAAAGGCAGATAATGACAAGTTGGGTGCATGAAGCCTAATAAGATACCTTGTCAAGGCTTCCTAACCTCTCACTTACCCCAGTAAAAAGAAGAATGCCAAATTTTCCTTAGTACAAAGATTACCAAAATAATAGTAATTTTAAGTATATTCATTAACATGTAAAAATGCTCATGATTATATAAAGTGAACAAAAGGCAACACAATCAAATTTAATGTACACACTATTGCTAGATGTGTCTCAACTTCATAAACATTAACATGAAAAAATGAATTTCTTAGCGTTTAGGAAATAGGATATCTACAAAGAAACAAGTTAAATGCACACACCAAAAAAATGTAAAATGCCATGTGGTTGTTGAGATTGCAGGTAATTTTTATTTTCTTCTTTTCACTTCCTGTATCTTCTTTGCCTATAATGGTATGTATTGCTCTAATAACAAAATTGTTTAAAAACTCCTTCCTGTACACGAAGCACTTCTAGCTCCTTAAAAAAGTGATCTGACACTTTCAATCTCAAGCAAGCTGAAACAGAGCTTTTCCAGCCTGCTTTTGCACATGGGAAAGTATAAAGCTCAAAGAAAAGTTAGGTCACTTACCCAGTGTCACACATTGTGGTGTGTAAGCCCAGCCAAGACAGGCGTCTGGGGGTCCTGAAGGTCCTCTCCATGATAGTACCTAGTTTTGTGCCATTGTCTCAGCCCATGCACCCCCTAAAAGTGAGGCTCAAGATGAGCTAACCCCTTGCTCTTACCTCTGCCAGGCGGGAGTGCTTGTGGACATTCTCGCCTTTTTGCACGCTTGGAGCCAGCTGCTGCAGGACACCCCTGCTGCTTGTCAGTGCTCTTGTCAGCCGAGCAAACTTCCCCCAGCCTGAAGCAAGTGGAAGAGTGAAAAGACAGGGTCAACCACATCTCAAAGGTGCACAGACACTGACGTTAGAAGCTATACTGTCAGAAACAGACACCTCCAATGCCCTCCTAAGCTCCCAACAGTCACTCTGCATCCCTGCAAGCAAGACCCACTGCTCAGAAAAGCACCTTGTGTGTCGCAATTTGCTTTTCCCCTGCACTTTCACTTCATCCTAATCATAGTTCGTGAAGCTGGTAGAGCAGGTTTTAGTACCATTTTACAAATAGGGAGACTAAGACACAGAGTGCCCGGACAATGAGAGTCTAGCACATCTCTCCACTATGGCCCAAGCCTTCTTCACCAGATAATACCAGGTAATTGAGATGGTTCTCTGATTTGGTAACTTGGCTCAGGCTGTTCCCAATCCCCAGGCTACCTGATCTTGCAGAAACAACTGGTTCTGGGTTTTAAATGGACAAGCTAGTTCAATAGTCATTCTATGCATTACCTTCTCCAAGGCCAGAGGAGTAAGAAATGATTTCAACCCCTGGGGAGGTGGGGGAAAAGCAGTGGTAGATTTTAGTCTGCTCTAGGATGGAAGAAAGATGGTTGGTGACAGGTCTTTACTGAGAATCGAAGATGTCTGAGTGATCTTGACACCTTTTAAAGGCCCCCAAAGACAATTGTCCATTTCAACACTCAACAACCCATCTACATCAAGGTTATGACCATGCAGTTGCCCCATGAAACCCTTGAAGTCCTGTCAGGATTCTCAAGAATCAGGAATTGGGTTTTAGGAGCTCCAAAAACCCAGACATGGGGTATATAGCAAATAAACAGAGCATGCAACTATTTTTACATTACAGCTAAAAGCAGGACTAGGTGATTTTACTTTTTTATATCCTTTAGAGTTTAGAAGCATTCAGCACCTTCCAGTAGGAATCTCATCTGCCAAATTTTACCCTGGAGCAACTTTCCAAGATAGAATCCAGAGGACAATGGAGTTAAGCAGAAGAATGTCCATATTTTATTTTTCTATACAACCTTTGAGAATCATAAACTGGATAAATTTTTGTCAAGATAGTAAGAATAGCAAATCAGCTCTTTTTTGTCTCATTCCAGAAGTGCCAGGCTTCAATAAAAAGCCAGTAGTGCTTTCATCCACCCTGATGTCACGAAGCAGAAATGTGGAACTGCTGGGATTGGCTTGAAAAGATACGCATAGTGGTTTGACTGTGGGCGGGTGGGGTATCCCACTAATGTTAACAGGAGGGGACAGCATGGACTCTGTAGGGGTCTTTGACATCTCCCCCAATGTCAATGAATGTGCTATGGGAACTATGAATTAAGATTTTTTAAAAGTCACTTTCAGAGGAAGGCTCTACTTTAGCTTAAAATACAGCTGAAACTGGATTCCAAAAAGCTTTTCGAGAAGAGCAGAGAGTTTAAGTTGTGTATGTAAACATCAGCAAGGGCTCTGCACCCACCCTACCACCACCACCAGCGTGATCTATATACTGTGAGAACAGTGATGAGAGGGAGCTGGCAGAGCAGGTGCCCCAAAGCCCTTAGTTCATCACCTGATATAACATAAAAGAATAAAAAGGAATATCCCTGGACCTCTGGGCATTTCCCTAGACTCAGGATAGCCCCTCACTCTCTGGCCTAGCCCTGATTCTCTTTGTAAGAGTGGGCTCTTAAAAGAGTGGGCTCTCGGCTGGCTGAGCAAGGGCATGGGAAGGTGAGTGGGTGTTGAAAAGGAGATGGATGAACAGTGTGAAATTTGCATCACACTTCTACCCAGGATGGGCAGGAAGGAAGGAAATAAGTTTTTACCCAAGTTCCCAAACCCATATTTTCTTTCCTGTGCTATAGATACTTTATAATGGCAATCATGCCTCGCCAGATGAAAAAATAGATTCAATCACTCATGTGTTAATTCTATAAACATAATTACTAGGTACCAGGTATGGTACTAGATACTAGAGATATTAACATGAATAAGACACAGATTCTGGCCTCAGAGGGCACACACTCTAGCAGGGAAGACTGACAATTATGAAATCATGACATAGTGAACTAAGTTCTATGACAGGGATGAGTACAGAATGCTATGGCCAAGACTGTCAAAAGAAGGCATATACCTAATCCAGGCTGGGGAGACAAAGCAAGTTTCCTGAAGGAAATGGCACTTGAGCAAAGTTTTAAACAATGAGTAGGAATTAGGTAGACTTAAGGAAAGAAAGACATCCCACACAGAAGGAACAGCACCTACAAAGGCAGAAAATTATAAAACAGGGTAATATGTCAGTGAAGAACAAGACATTCGGAATGGCTGGATGGAGGGCCATGGCTTATAAGTGGGAGGGGGATGCCAGGCATGTCCTGAGATGATGCTAAAGAGGTTGGTAGGGGCCAAACCAAGAAGAACCTGGACAGTAAAAACCTACAAGGTAAGTTAAGAACCTTGAACTTCATCCTGAAACCCACTGAGAGCCACTGAAGGACTTTAAATGTGGTGAGGAGGGAGATACACATGCCAATTTGCATTTTAAATGAACAGAACAACAAAGTGGATAGTGGGCTGGGAAAAAAAAAAAAAGACAGATAGAAGGTATGTTAGGACAACAGGCAAGAGACCATGTGGGCCTGGACCAATGCTGCGGCCTGGGCCGGGGTCAAGGGGAGACTTGAGGGCAGCTACAGAGTCAGGACTCTGAAAAAAATAGCTATAGAGGAAAAGAAAAAGCAACCTAGGTGGCTCCTGAGTTTCTGGTTTGGGTGACAACTGGGGTGACAGCTATTCAAGGAGATTAAAAACATATGAAGAGCAAACCAATTTGGTGGAAGATAATACATACAATTTGGACCACCAATGTCCCTTACAGCAGACCCATCAGAAGAATCATTTCTGGAGAAAGTGAAAGTGAAACTCCTCTTGTCCAAAAGGCCAAATGGGAGGGGACAACCCAAACCGAACTTAGCTCAAAATGGTCTTGCTCAGGGGAAGTCAGACAGTCACTTTCCACGTGATTCATTGTCGTCCTTCAAGGAAGAATACTGGCCTACCCCTAGCAGGCTTACCTGCTCCCTGTATTGAACCCCAACTTGCTTTAGGCAGGCATATATTAGATCATTGACTGTGCTTTACTGTTTTATTTGCTTACCTGCCTATGCCTTCTCCCAAATAGACTCAGAGGCTCTATCGCAGGCATTTCCTTGTGTCCAGCACCTAGCATGAGGCCAGGCACCCAACAGGTGAATACAATAGGTGTACTGGACAAATAAAGAACAAATATTTTTTCTCTCATCACCCTACTTCTGTCTGGATTTGCAATAGATATAAGGTCCCAAAGGATAGGCAGCCCATTTCACAAACTCTCTTCAGTTTTAGGGGGTATCTCTGTGCCTCTCTTTTGCCAGGCATTTCTGCACCCACTCCTCCAATTACATCCCACTTGTAAGTTCAACACTGAATAGTGCTCAAATGAAGAAACCCCTGGCCCAGGATTCTTCCAGTTCCATCACAAATGTCACCAGCAAGTTAGGCATAGCAGAGCTGTGGATGCCATGAGAAAATTGAAACCATACATGATCAGGAAAATGAGAGGGGAAGTGGGCAGGAGCAGAAGAGGAAGAGTATAGAAAGAAAAAAGACAAAAGGAGAGGAACACAGTATACAATCTAGCAATCAGCTAAAAGGTATTTACTGGGTCTTTTCTCCATTCTCAGGAATGGAGAAATGGCTTTTACCCTGTCTTGACCCGACAATGGCTGGTGGGTGTCAACTTAGCTGAGCCACCAATGAGCCTGAATCTTTCTTTTTCAGGCCAGAAGAGATGGTGCTGGGATGAGTTAGAATTCCAATTCCTCTGAGAGTAAGTCCAGGGGTACCAAAAAAGACAGAGGACAGCCTTATCCTGAGATACAGGGTCAGAAATTCAGAGGAGTTGATAGCATAATCCAAACATCCAGCAGAGAATAGTCAACACAGGGTACAGCATGGAGAGTCAGTGTGGACCACTGCCTAAGCGTCCTCAAGTCTCCTCCCACAATCTTTTCCTTACCAATGTACAAAGCACCAAAAATCTACAATGGCTTCTTCAAGTAGCAGTCACTAAATCGTCACTTTCCCATCAGCCTAAGGGCAGACACATAAAATGTTAACACTGAAGGGGGGTGGGGCCTGCAACTTGTGTCTATTACTATTTCTCCCATGTCCAGCATAAGATACATGGAGAAGGGTGAACAGTTACAACAGTTTGCCAGAGCCTTCATCCTGCAATATTCTAAATCTCTGGCTCTTAGAAACCTACTCCAAAGTTTTGCATTCCTTTTGTTGTCTGCATTTGCCTTAAGTTTAATTCTGAATTTAGAAGTAAACAAGTGAATCTTTGAAAATGAATTTGCTCCTTTAATATGACATTAGTTGGTGGGATAATAGAGAAAACAAGAGGACTGACTCATCCTTTGGTGAGCAATGTAAAGAGAGAAAATTCTGAGCTTTACACTCTAATTCTATACTCATTTGCCCAACCCTCCTGACTCAGAAGAGAGAACGTGACAGAAACATATCCCACAGCCTACTCCCAATTATCTACAACAAAAGAAAAAGCAAGAGATAAGGAACAAATGAAATCACTGGAGCATCACAGATTCTCATTTTAGGCAGGAATTCCTACCTACTCTCTCATTCAGCCTTTAAGCGCGCGCGCGCGCACACACACACACACACACACACACACACACACCCCAGAACTGTTAGCAAACAGCAAACCTAACTTGACTTTCATTCCCTGCTCCATGCCATCCGTGGGCACTATTTGTCAGAGAGTAAGAGAATTACTGTCAAAAGACAGAGAGCAAAGTGAAGATGAGGAAGTCAGAGGCCTACCTAGCTCATAAAAAGGACGGTGAGAACTGGTACACCAAATGACAGAGGGGACTCTGAAAGCATTTCCAGGACCCATCCCCTCTGCCTGAGGCTCTGGGTAGAAGAGAAGTTACTTTGTGTCAGATCCTGAAATAGGCTACTGTCAATTATCCCATGTGTTGGACCCTTTGCGGGTGATTTGTGGGAAAATTGGGGGCACAAACTGGCTTCTTGCGTCACTATCAGGATGTACCCACCCCAGCCCCAAGTCCCCAAATTAGGTACTACATGATCTGAGAAAACAAAGTAATTTTAAAGACAATTTCAACACAACTGATTTAAAAGGCTAATATGGTGGTGGGAAAACATCCCATGGGGCTATGCCAAAGAGCAATTATCTGGGAATTTTCTGGGGTTTTAGATTATCCACATTTCCATTTCATCTCCAAAGTGAATTCTAAACAAGCCTAAGTCAGCAAGACTCAAGATTCTTAATGGTGACTGAGGTGCTGTACTGAAAACCCAGCTGGTCTCCCGGAAAGAAGCTGCTGAGAGTACATCCAAGAAGAAATGTCAAGCCAGGAGATAATCCAGCCACATGGCAGCATATTTTCTAGGATCTAGACTTGATCCCTGTAGCAAAAATTGCAGTTTATAGACTTAAAATAACAAGGCCTAGAGAATGATCATGTGCTTCCATCATAAACACACTGATATAAAGTTTGACTTGTCCTAAGCAGACCACCAAACCACAGTGGGCCAGGGGCACAATGACATGGCAAGTGGGAAGGTCTGAACATATCTGCCATGGCATTTGAAATTGACAGGCTTATAAAGCCATGTCTTTGAGGAGACATTAAGTGTGGTCTACTAGCAGGATTCCTACATCGAGGGCTAACGTGTGTGTGTGTCAAATTTTTATGAATCCAGCCAGAAGTTACTCCTATTTATTTCACTGACAAAAACAATTAATATCTGGTCCCCTCAGCTAAGAAGAAACAGAGTAAATGTGTGTGTATGTCCTTATGAGTGTCTGTAAGTATGTATGTGTATATACCAAAACTCTTATCAACAGAGAAATGCATCATTGAGGCAGGTTAAATGAAGTGGAGCATTTTATTCCTGGAAAATAAACCTAAATAAGTCTCACTACATCACTCTGATTTATCCCTCTTTAGGTTTCATGAGCATCAAATGCAGGCACCTACATGCCAGGTACGGAGCATTCTGTTAGGTATGCTTTTCCTACTAAATAATAACAGCACATCACCTACAAATGTTCCGGTGGTAATAAAAAAAAAAATTTTGATTCAACCAAATCACATGTCTTAAATTTTTAAGAGAAAAATTGCAAAAATAAGTGTAAAAATATTCAATTGCCTTCAAAATACTACTTTTGAGTTTATTAGGTTAAAAAAGCAACTGGCCTTTCTATATGGTAACAAGATGATACTTAATCATGAGTGAACCCACTGCCACGAAATAGCTACTGCACTGAGAAATCTTCAAATTAGAAACTAGAAATCGGGCAATCATGTATCTGTAAGCAAAGGGAGACTCAGGTGGCTGAAACACTGGTTGAGAGACTGCATCTGCTGCAGTCTTAAAACCAAAAGGCAGGCTGAAATTGAGTTAGTGAGCTATCAGACAGTTTTAAAAAAATAGGATGCACTGGTATTCACAGTACTGTGCTCGGAACTCCATAAATGTGAGTGGCTAAATGTGCCAGGATTTTAAATACCCTCAGAGGACACAGCCCTTGAGAGAGCATCCACATAATGCTTTTTATTTCCTCCTATAATGCTCATTTAACAACAAAAATTTTGTCACATCAAAAATAATATGTCTCAGTTTAACTCTCCCCTGGACTCCGCTCTCACCTCTTTGCTACATCTCAGGAAACCACAAGGAGCAGACTTCGCCAGCAGAGCTGAAAAATCAACCACAGAGCCAGGTAGCACTGCAACATGAAAAAACTCCTAGCCTCTTGGTTATCTTGAGTGTAAGCTATGAACAAGGGATGTGAAAGAGGTTCTATGTCATCCCCTAATCCATGGGACTGGATCTTGCCATCTTTTTTATGTCCTGATGAGCTGAACCTCTTCAGGGATACAGTTGTTGCAGAAACCCTGAGCCATCTCCTTTCCTGGGTCCCCTATGTTATGCAAACAATACATGCATATGATATGGCTGAGATGAGTGCTAAAATCTGTGATCACACAGCTAATTAAATGACCCATATAGAAATGTTACTCAGGACCTGGCTTCATTAATGTCATGTTTCAAATGAATTAACCAGTCACAGACTTAATCAACCACAGACACAAAGATGTGCTAAAGTCTGCTGTAACAATCTTGAAGTACTAGAATTCAGTCAAATCTAAGAAAGTTTATATATAAAGCAGATGAATGTGGCCATAGACCACCCCATTTGTATGACTGACATTTGTTATGTGAAAACTTGAAAAGATTCTGATGATACTAGAGTTGCCAAACTATCTTCTTCTGCCTAACTAATATCGGAAAGGGTTAATTATTAAAGGTATGAAATTGATTGAAATGCTTTCCTAAACAAAGTGTTTTTTCTCCCCTTCTCCTCCCTGGATACACTCCGGAATGACACAGTGCTTTGCTCCATACAAATTAAAGTTAGAATCTTGAGGTTTGTAAAGTGATTGCCTTGACAACCACAAATTCTCTGTAATGAGAGCCACACTAAAGACAAAAAAGGCATAAATGTATCTGTACAAGTGAGAATTACAAACCTTTACATGAATCATCCTCAATTGGCTGTTTGAAAGCTGTTATGTCACTGAAAGTGCAAAGAAATAAAACCACTTTATCCTGTTCGTTTCGAATTGGAGCAATTTTCACAAAGAACCACACAGGTGTCCCTGAAAGGAATATCAAAAGGTTGGTCAGTAATTTGCATTCTCATTTGAGGGGCTATGGAAGCAAAGACTTGGGAATGAATAGGTACAAATATTAATTCATTTTTCAAATGGTCTTATTCCTTCAAGTCCTGGGTTATCATCACACCATAAATTTTTTTTCTTGCTGGAATAAAAACTTTCACAGTGACTATTCAGTAAGGGATTTCTCCTGTTCAACTAATTTTCTAAGTGCAGATCTCTTAACTTGTAAAACAATTAGGAAATAGGTTGAAAACCCCACCTGATCTTATGGAAGAAACTTAGGTACAAAGACCTAAAGACTTACCTTAGACCACATAGTAGACAGTAAAGTGTAGGGGCCAAGATAGGCCCTGCCAACCATGGCCAGCAGACCATGCCAACTCAAATTTCAAACTTCATCCATTGCTAAAGGATCCCAGGGTCAAAATCCAGTTTAGGAATCCACCAATTTGACTCATATGACCAATCACACATGGGCCAGAAACTATATTTTTTTTTTTTTTTAGACTCTCAGGCTGGAGTACAATGGTGCAATCTTGGCTCACTGTAACCTCTGCCTCCCAGATTCAAGTGATTCTCCCGCCTCAGCCTCCCGAGGTAGCTGGGATTACAGGCACCCACCACCACGCCCGGGTAATTTTTGTATTTTTAGTAGAGGCGGCCAGGGTGGTCTCGAACTCTCAACCTCCAGTGATCCGACCACCTTGGCCTCCCACAGTGCTGGGATTACAGGCATGAGCCACTGCGTCCAGCCCAGAAACTGTATTTCTACATCCCTCTCCTTAAAATCAAAATCTAAGAGATCCAATGCAATGGTAAATGACAAGCCATTGAAGAAGGAAAGGAACACCACAATGATTCCCCCGTACAAAACTCTCCGGAAAAGAAGGATTCCAAGCAGGTTTGGGCTTCGATCACATTAGTGCCATAGGAAGCTCAATGAATGTGTTTCAATATCAATCCTTGTTCCTGAGGTACAGTGGAGGATAAATGAGTTCTTCCTAAGCTCTGTCTTCATTCACAGAAGGAGGCAGGCAGGGCTATTCTGACTGGCTTCTTGGAGAGGGTACCCACTCAGGTATCAACAGTCAAATATCTGCATAGTCACTCGCTGGCTTCCCAAAAATAATTAAGGAAAATAAATAAATATTTTCTAGCCATAGAAGACATCACAGCAAGAAGCACCAATTTATTCTATGATACAAAATTACATGAGACACAAAGCAATCCTATGTCCTTTTCTTCCTAGTTCATATATTCTGGTTCCTACAATAGCATCTAGAAGAACTGAATAACTATTTGTTGAATTTTGCATAACTGGCATAATACTTAGCATACTATTTTATAACCATTTGCAAATCAAAATAAAGTAGCTATTTCCCCATGCTAAGTAATAGTTTCCTATGCAGCCAGCACTGTGCTCAGCATTTTACATATGTTATTTTGTGAGATTGAGAGCGGACAACTCACTGAATCTTGGAGATGAAAATAGATCCTCAAGAGGTCACCTGGCTTTCTCTGTCCACAATCACATCAAACTCTGTACTGTACACCAGGGACAGACAGACATCTCTGATTAACATTAGGCTTAGTTAGCCAATCTAGCTTGACAACAACTACTTCAGAGATTTAACTATACCACCTATTCACATGTCAGTAGTCATAACCCTGAAATGCACAAACAGGCAGCAAGTAGATCCAATGGAAATGTGTTCTCCTTAAATCTTGATTATCTGTGTATTCCGCTATAGTTAATTTTAACCTTCTTTCCATTCTCTTTGTGTAATTTTCAGTTGCCAGTTTCTAGGTGTTCTGCAAATACCAACAGATTATAATGTCACCTTAAGAAGTGTTTTGAAAGAAAACTCTACCATATGAAAATCACAAATAGCATTTCAAAGTTAAGAATATGACCTCTGAATTGTTCACTGTTTTTGGAAGTATGTATTACTGTTCCTCCCAGTTTTTTCTCAGAATCTGCAGGATTTTAAACCATTTTCAATTAAGCAACAGAAAACTCAAAGTGTCACAGCAATTACATTCATATCCTCACAGCTCTCAATTGTACCCTCTCTGTTAAGGCAAAAACACAAATCAAAAAAAAATTTTTTGCTCAAAAAAAAATTTAAGCATTTTTTCAGATGATAAACCAGAAAATACCACTAATTACTCCCCACTTAATAGGTGAATTTGTTTAAACTATGTCTCTCTGTTGCCCAGGCTGGAGCACATTGTGTGTGAGTTCCTGTCATCTGATTTATTACTAATTTGACAAATGTATTACTAATTTGACCAATTAGTAATAAATCAGGTGACAGGAACCCACTCATGATGCCTACTCCTAGAATCTCCAGAACCCTCCCCTCCCAGCTACGGCCCTGTAGCCCATCACTGCACTGCACCGGCTGCGCCTGATGCCTGGGAACTTGCTCATTCTTTATGTTTCATTTATGACTACAGGCGTGGATGACACTAAGCCACATTTCCAAGATCACGAAAACCATTGTATTAGTTGTATTGGGAGGTCTTTTTCATTTGTCCACAGTTCAAGCTTATCATGAATGAACTCTCCCCACTTAACAGGTCCATTTGCTTAAAGTGTGTCTCTCTGTCACCCAGGCCGTAGTACAGTTGCACGATGTCGGCTCACTGCAACCTCCACGTCCTGGATTCAAGAGATTCCCCTGCCTCAGCCTCCTGGGTAGCTGGGACTACAGGTGCATGCCACCACACCTGGCTAATTTTTGTATTTTTAGTAGAGATGGGGTTTCACATGTTGGCCAGGCTGGTCTTGAACTCCTGACCTCAGGTGATTCTCCTGCCTCAGCCTCCCAAAGTGCTGGGATTACAGGCTTGAGCCACTGCACCCAGCCATGTTCCCTAATTAAACACATACTACTCTGACCACTCCTTTTCAGTATCTAAATATATATCTTATAACAAAAATTCATACAATCAGGACATATTGCCTTAGCGTTCATCTTGAGCTAAATATAGGGACTTTTTAAGGGAAAGGACCTCCTTTTTCCTGATCTGGTGTTTCTCTGTGGAAGAACATCTTGCAGTGTAACACTCTGGGCCTTTTTCCTGGGTTGGTTGGTAATCTGGGACACAAGAGCTGGATATGTGTAGCTTGGCCCCTTCTCTGCTTTGCTCCCCTACCCTATAAAGGGGGAAAGGCAAAAGGCAGGAAGGATGGCTGGTAAGAGGAAAAGCCTGCAGTTCTCCAATACTACCTGTGACTTGCAGGTAACTCTGTCTGATTCTAGGTTTCACTTTTAGAAACTCACTTGCCCACAGGTATAAACTACATTCCCCAGGATCAGCTTCATTAGTCACAAAAGTGATATCTTATCCTCTATTGCAGGAGTCCCCAACCTTTTTGGCACCAGGGACCAGTTTCATGGAATACAATTTTTCCATGGACCAGGGTGGGAGGATGATTTCAAGATTAAACTGTTCCACCTCAGATCATCAGGCATTAGATTCTCATAAGGAGCAGGCAACCTCACATACACAGTTCACAATAGGGTTCACGCTTCTATGATAATCTAATGCCACCGCTGATCTGATAGGAGGTGGAGCTCAGGTGGTAATGCTCGGTCAGCTGCCACTCACCTCCTGCTATATGGCCCAGTTCCTAACAGGCCATGGACTGGTAGCAGTCCGTGGCCTGGGAACTGGGGACCCCTGCTATATTGGCCTGATTCCTTTATCTCTCAATTGGTTCTGATCATGGACAGGGAAGTTAAGTATTATGTACTGGCCCCCTCAAAGCTTAACAGCTAAGGACTTTTTCTTTAAATAGATCATAATACACTCCAAGGGCGAGAGACCTGATCTACTTCCTCTGTCTTACCACCGGCACCCCTACTTCCTGGCATTCAATGCAGTATCATGTACAGGGTCATGTGAAGCCATTGCATCACTCCACTCCAGGGAGTGCCGTCATGGAGTTGCACAACAGCCTTGGTGGGGTAGATGCTCTAGGAATGCTAAATTAAAAAAAATAAATCCTACACCCAGTGTTTTCAGTCCCGAATTATCACTACCCAAACAGTCTAGGAAAGTGAGTAGAATGGGCTTAAGTTTTCACTTTTGGAATTCTTTCAGAAGAGAACGTAAGTTCCTCCTAGGTGGTACAGACTACTATTTCAACCTTTTCCACTTAACAGCAAAGGATTTTTATTTAATGAAATATAACTTAAAGATTTAATATGTGAAACAGTTGCCTCAAGTGAATGTGAACCATCTGGAACCTGGACCCCACTCAAGCCAGTTTCCCTTCTACCCTCCAAGGATATTCAGGAATCCTTTGGCTCCATTCAGACATTGACTTTCCTGCAGACAGAACTTGGAGCAAGTAGCCTACAGGGGTCTCTCCTAGAACCCAAATTCTGCAGCAGAATCCATTCCATCAAGATGCTAGAGAGGCAATAAATGCAAATATTCACATACATACATAAAAAATCAGGAAGAAGTAAAATTTCTGCCTCCTTACCCAAGTACTACTATGGAAAAACTGAGAAAAGTAAGCATTTGATGTCCTACTGCAAAAAGGACAAAGTGTCAATGTTAAATCCTTTATTAAAGAAAGATCTATGTACAAACCCAGGAACAACATAGCACCTGACAACCCTACTGATGGCAGAGGCTGCTGCTGCTGCTGGGAAGGAGGCTCTTTCCAAGATGAGGATGTCCAATGGGAGGGCAGTTCCAGGTCAGCCTTTTTAGATCACTCTGATTTTCATCCCTTATGTAGCTCCCTTAGGTCATGTAGTAATGAACCTGACAACCTAACCTGGCTTTGAGGTTCCTCAGCCTTGGCAGTCAGATAACAAAACAGCAAGGCTCAGATATATGAGAGAATTTTTGGCCTCCATCAATCTTCTTTCTACCCTGGGCTTCCTCCCAAGTACTCTCTGTAATCAGGCATCTGGGCATCCAGACCATATTCAACAGCAATGGAACAGACCAAG